GATCTTGAAAACTAATATTGTATTCGTAATCTGCATGCTCGATTACCCCCCTGCGCAAACTCCCAGCCCCGCAGGTCAAACTTTACAAAAAAAAATCGATAAAATCGATAAAAGTAATGGACGATCCTGAAAACTAATATTGTGTTCGTAATCAGCATGCTCGATTACCCCCTGTGCAAAATCCCAGCCTCGCATGTCAAAATTTACAAAAAATCGATAAAATCAATAAAAGTAATCGATAATTCTGAAAACTAATATTGTATTCGGAATCCCCATGCTCACTTTCCCCCCCCCCCCTGTGCCAACTCCTAGCCCTGTAGGTGAACTCTGCGAAAAAATCGATAGAAATCGGTAAAATCAACATCGATCGATAACGAAAAGTGGACTGTGACACCCGCCGGGGCCCGAAGTGTATGTGTGCCAAGTTTGGTCCGGATACGGCGGAGCCGGGTATGCCAGCTAGTTCATTATAACGATGGCAAGTAACAATGAAGAACATAACCATCTGGGGCCATATCTATTTCTCCATGTGGTCATATCTCCAGATGGTTATGTTCTTCATTGTTACTTGTCATCGTTATAATGAACTAATTGAAGTTAAAAACGTTGTAGTCCAAGCATAACAAGAAGCTACACAGACAAGATTTTCAGCCGGCAGCCACAAAGCCACCGCGAAAACCCACCAAAAGCGCCGTGGCCTTATCGCCTCACTGCCGCTTCCCGCTGAGAACTGTAGAAGCGAGCGGGCTACAAATATGACAATGAGCGGGAGGCTAAAGCTGGCAGCGGGCGGACTGCTATGAGGGCTTCAGCGGGAAGCGAAAGTGGGCGCGATGAGGCCACCGCGCTTTTGGTGGGTTTTCGCGGTGGCTTTGTGGCCGCCGGCTGAGAGCCTGTGATTGTCTGAGCATCTGCCCCGGACTATCGCAATTACATATAAAAGGTGTTTGCTTCGATTCTCTAGACGAGCTTAGGCACTGGACGGAAGACTTTTTTGAGACGGGACTCACTGTAATTGTATAACATGATTGAAAATAGGGCAAATATATTGTTGGCAAAGTGGCAGAAGGTTGCGCCTTGGAACGGAAAAAGCGTCAAATGCGTGAATACGCCAATGGAAAATACATTACGGATTTGAAAAAAAACTCTGTCATTTTGTTAGTTTTTGAAAATTCCACGAACTTGTGAAGCGACTCAAAATAAGGCAGGCTTCAGACCGCGCTCGAACCCGTTGAACCCTACTAAATAAAGGGAACTAAGAAGATTTGCTCGATTGACATTTTGGAGCATACAAACATCGCACACATACACACATACCCACGTATACCGTACACAAAACTTCAAAAAATGTTACTCTGCAATAGCTTAAAGAGAACGGAGATGTGAAGAACATCCACAAAAGTTTGCCAAGTCTCACCGAAATGCGGAAAGATAAGGGATGTATAGGGCTTTTAAAAGATCTTGACGATGGCGCGACCGCGCGCGACACGCACGCCACCTCCGAAAATTGCATTTTCATGGTTTTCCTCCCTAGTCGAGTTTTTTGCTTACGTATGATAATATTTAGGCACTGGAAGTGACTGAGCTGAAACGTTGATTTAATGCCTTCTTGTGTGAGCGATATATGCTCATGTAGGCGCAAAGTCCGCAGTAAACCCGGTCGTCACGCTTCAAAAAATGAAGTGCACATGGAATTGCAAAAGCAGAGACGAAATACCACGACACAAAGTCGATAAGTCCTTGCTGTAACAGAGTAGCGTACAAATGGAGAAGCGGTCGAGTTATGTGCGTCTGACAAGGAAAGGCATCTAACTAGTCGCGGCTTCATGTTGAGCAAGCCAAATTCACACAAAAGCGTTCATAAGTCGCTTTAAAATATTGCGCTGCAGCTAGGAGCAGCATATTCGGAATCAGCTTCAGAGCATGGTAAAGCTCAACATTGTAAGGCAGCCTGTAGAGGGCGATTCGCCTATAAAAATAGCTGGAATACTCAAATAACATCAGATTGAGTCTGTTGTCATTGACAAGAATTTTAGTGCAGTAAATTAGGATAGATGATGATATTATAATGCCAGTAGGTCAAAAAACTATGTAAATTTTGCACAGAAAAATCCATACTGCGCTTCAGCATGATGCGCCGTAGCTAGGAATAGCTTTGAAATAAATGTTTCTATATGAAAAACCAATCTAAGTTAGATGCTGCCAACGACAGTCGATCGATCGATTATTGCTCACCCGATATGTCTGCAGTAGCTACAGCGACTACAGTTTGAAACAACTCTGAGATGCGAAATTACAGCGCGCGAGGTATTTCGCGCGTACTTCAAGATGCAAAATCCTGGCATCTAGGAATCGCTTTACTTTATTTGGCAGCGGCGAGTGCAGACGAATTCCTAGGGTTCCGGCGGGTTCGAACGTAAAGCCTGCTTGAAGTTGCTTCTCGTCGAGCTGAATCAAATGGTACCACTTGACTCAGATTGTCTACTTTGAAACGAGATGTATCTCATGTAGTGCGTTGTTAAAAGCCGACAAGCAAAAACCTATTACCAGACATAGAGCTCTGGCAGAGATGCTAATAGGGCTAATGAATTGAGCTGCAATTGCTGCAATCGCAATCGCAAGTGCAACTGCAAAAGCAACCCGCAATTGCTCAAAGGCAGCGTACACCCAAAATCTAAGTTACCTAATTTTCTAGATCTTTCTATACCGTGTATATACTGGCCCTGAAGAAGACCAACTGCGTTGGTCCGATCTCCAAATGTTGCTTCTGAGCGGAGAAAACCCCCCTCAATTTTCTTTCATTCCGCCCCTTTTCTTTCACTCCGCCTCCTCCGGACGAATCCACGACAGCGTAAGCTTCAGTTGTCGTTGCAGTTGCTGTTGCAATGCTATTGCATCTGCAACTGCAGTTGCAAGAGCAACTGCAACGGCAACTGAACAGTGCAGTTGCTTTTTGCGGTGCGCCTCCTTCGGGCGATGAACCACGACAGCATATGCAGCAGTTGCAGTTGCAACTGCAGGCCGTCATGCTGTTGCAGCTGCTGGCATGCCGACGGGGACGGGCGGTTCGAAACTCGTCCGCCCTCGAAGAGAGGGTCCTCGGAAATTGGGGTTTTTTTGGGACTTTTGGAGGATTTCAATGTCATAACTGTAACCAGCGGCACGGAAAGGCTCCAGAATGACAAAAACATCGAAGGTGAAATTTTGGGTGTACGCTGCCTTCAAGCACTCTCTGGCAATAAGAATGTGATGAACCTCAAGCAGTGGAACGATCTCGAAGTACGTCTAGCTCCATGCTGGATGCCTTATAGAAATCAACACGTTTTCATGTAACGAACAGTCGAAAGTGAATAAATATAGGTAGATGAAATAAATAGAAAATTGAGCCAAGTTCTAATTACATACAGTTTTCATATTAAATGAAACCTATCTTGCTTCCGACATCATGGCACGTAGTAAACCCTCGTCAGTGCATCTTTCCTGATGTGGGCCTAAATTGATCTTAGGCCGCCTTAGCAGCATCCAGCAAGCTATGTAGATGTGGATCGATTTGTAGAAATGATGATAATTGCGTGTTCTTAAAGAAACTCAAAGCTGCTTGATTTGTGCAGGTATGGCTAAATGATCAAACTATTGTGATACACGCGGCAGCGCCACGGTATGAGACCACTTTTTCTATATCGCTAAAGCCATTCTTTATACAGACATCGAAAAGTCGAAAATGGGCGCTTTCAAAAGTTCTGCCAAGCAAACAAAGATATAACATTATAATAATCTAGCAGTGGCGGTGCCAGGATTTCCGTTCCGGTGGGGGGGGGGGGGGCAAAATTTTTTTCAAATAAAGGTGCGTCGCGCCACGCACTCCGAAAAATTTTGTAGGGGTAATTCTGAAAATTTTTGCGGGGCTCCAACCCCTTAAATTTGGAAAAAAATTTTTATAAGTCTAACTTGAATTGTTACAAAATTTCAAATTTCGATTGTTCACAAAAATAAACAAGTCATTTGCACATTTACGTAAGTAAATTTCAAAAATTTTCGCGACCCATTCTCGGGAGGGGGGGGGGGGTCCTCAGTCCGCCACTATAATCTAGCACCAATTTACACGATAAATTATGATTTCTGCACTATTATCTCACATTACGAATCTCTTAAGTTACCCATTAGCAGCTTACGGGTTTTCCCCTGCTCAGATGATCGCCGAGCGCAGGTGGCCATGCGATTTTTGGGCAAGCGAGCACCGGAAAAATAGTTCGCTGATTTCTAGCTGTCCGCTTGCAGAAATTTGAAAGACTATTGGTCATTTTTGTAGGGACGCTCATAAAACAGTCTCGGCCTTTTCATAGATTAACTGCGGCGCAGGGGCCGCATTCTCGCGGATATTCCGCGAGAATATGCAAAAATTTAAAAAAAACGGTCTTTTGTGAAGGACCGCACAGCACACAGTTACCTTCCGCTGAGAGAAGGTACCTAAGGTAAATTGAGTAATTGAATCATCGATGTCACCTCTGCCATACAGAGTCTTACCTTTGCTCGGCGTTCGCCCGAAACTGCGTAAAAAGAGTCCGAGCGCGCGCTGAAATTGTGGCCAGCGCTTGCTGAAAGAAATTGTTTGACGAGCTCACGCAGAAAACTTTATATTGCTGTCCGCTGGCAGAACATGTGACAGTAAAGGAAGTACCGCTCGCTGAAGGTTTGGCTACGCCCCAAAATTCTGATGACCGCCTGCAGAAAAGCGCGAGTTTGCGGTCCGCCTGCCCCCGGCGGTTATCAGAGTGGGTTTCATCATTGCACGCTACTCGCCTAGGATCATCTCAAAGCGGATGTTGCTCTTACAAAAAATCAAAGGGTGATTATTGCGGCAACCTCTTATAACATAAAGAGTGGCCGCTTCTGAGTTCATCTTACGGATTTATCTTAGGCCCTTAGTTCAAACAATCTAAACTGACGGAGGGTTTACTATGGTCGATATGTTCTAAGAGAAGGTTGTGTAATGCACTTACCTTTGAAGTAGTGCTGAGCGGTTCACTTTCAAAAATGACCTCGTGCGTGTCCTCGTTTTCTGCCCAAAGCTTGGGGACTTCTTTTTGAAGATTGATCACTCTGAAATAGTAGTTCGAGGCCTGAGCAAATTGAGCAAACAATGCTGACTTGCACCGACTTGTATACTGCTGATATGAAGTAACGCTGCAAAGTATGATAAGGATTTTAGAGAATTGTTCTATGAGAACGTCGTCAAATAGACATTATGCTAGGCTCTATAAACCGTCCATCATATTACTTCGATCGTGACTAATCAAAGCCTTTTAAACTTTAGGTAAGTTCCAAACTACCATTGAAAAAGCAATTCAAGTTAAGTGACACACAAACATTTGCACAACCCATAGTTGAAGTCAAAAGCTAAAAAACCAAAATGCCCGAAAAATGCAGAAAAAATCATAACATTGTCAAAATAGCTACATATTTGATGCTCGCTGCACATACAAAGTGCGGTTCATGATTATAGGAACTCCCACGTCTTGGAAGTTTAACTTTCTAAGAAAAACCACGTCAAAATGCATAGTCAAAAACGGCACGAAGAGCATGTAGCCGTTATCGATTGTGAAAATCTTGCACCTTTTTTCTTCTTTTAAATGTTACGCTGACAATGTGTAAGATATCTGCTACACAATGAACCCAGCACAGTTCAAAAAGAGAAGTGTTACTATGTTGTAAGTCCTGCCTTGAAACCTGGGCTTGTTATAGACAATTTCATTTTCTTCGCCGTACAGGTTTGTTATGGTAGTAACTTTATTGCTTTACGTTTCGGCCACATGCCAGAGGCCTGAAAGGAGCAGTCACAATGATGTCCGTTCTTGGGCGCCAAAATCTTCTCAGTCGTATCGATTCGTTTAGCGTAGAGAAAGCAGGCTGGGCGGTTGACTCGTACTCACCAGTACTACCGTTATTGCAGTGTGCAAGCTTTAGACGAGCTCGTTTGACTGTGGTACGAACAAATGAGCAGTGTGCATGGCACCGAGCTGCTTATATACAGGGTGTTTGATAAGTTTGTGTCCTCAAGTGCTTCAACTGATTCTAACTCATTTTTTACTATATCAAGGACATGCTGTACACAAGAAGATTCGCCTTGATGAGCTGAGCAAGGCGCTGTTTTCGGATTCAAAATATACTTATTTCGAAGGAAGTTATGGCGAGTAGAATTTAAAACGCGTGATTTTTCCGAAATTCACCAACGCTTCTTTCTCCTTTGGAAAGAACTCTGAGCCTATTTTTTAGCGCACAATAATCTATAAGAACAGTAATATCGAATAGTACTTGGTAAGGTCTTCTATGTTGGGTAGGCTTTGCTCCACATATTCGCGAAAGGACCTTCGCAGAACAAATTGAAAAAAAAACTGGAAACAGAATATCGACATCGTACCCCAACTTTCAATATATCAGAAGATTCTCCGCGCGGAGCTGAATCGAATGGTAGCTTTGATTCAGAATTCGTCCACTCTGAAGCGAGATATGGCCAGGCGACGGTGATGTCCATGCTTGTATTGACATGTATGGACATGTATGGACATGCCGCTACATGTCCATACATGTAGCGACATGTCCGTACATGTCCATACATGTCCATACATTCGCGTATGTTTTTCAAAAAATGTGAGCGGTATTGTATCTTGAGGTAAACAAATATTCTTCTTTGTTGATCCATTGGTTTCAAGGTTTAGCGAACACTTATAGCAAAAAAAATGAGTTAGAATCAGTTGAAGCACTTGAGGACACAAACTTATCAAACACCCTGTATATAAGCAGCTCGGTGCCATGCACACTGCTCATTTGTTCGTCACCACAGTCGAACGAGCTCGTCTAAAGCTTGCACACTGCAATAACGGTAGTACTGGTGAGTACGAGTCAACCGCCCAGCCTGCTTTCTCTACACTAAACGAATCGATACAAGTGAGAAGAGGTTTTTGGCGCCCAAGAACGGACATCATTGTGACTGCTCCTTTCAGGCCTCTGACGACGGCGTGTGGCCGAAACGTAAAGCAATAAAGTTACTACCATAACAAACCTGTACGGCGAAGAAAATGAAATTGTCTATAACAAGCGCAGGTTTCAGGACTTACAACATAGTAACGCTTCTCTTTTTGAACTGTGCTGGGTTCATTGTGTAGCAGATATCTTACACTTTGTCAGTGTAATATTAAAAAAAAAAGAAAAAAGGCGCAAGATTTTTAGAATCGATAGCGGGTGTTGTACGATACTTTTCGTTATCGATTTATCGATCCATCGGTTTTTTGCAAAATTTTGACTACGGTGCTGGGAGTTGTTACAGGGGTAATAAGTTATATAGGGCTGGGCGGAGTGCGGTTTGCCAGCTAGTGACAGTATAGCGCACAGCAATTCCACGAAAATTAGCAATGATCACAAGAATTTTCATTGCAAACAAATGAGTGTTGTTCGTTTTGATACGTTTTGACGTGCGACTTAGAGGCTTTGTAAAGATTCAAGTAGAGATTATTCAGCCGACAAGCGAAGGATGGCTGGCCGAATGGTTCTGAATGACTCGTTAGTAGGCGTGACAACTGCGCAGGAAAATGGCCTCATAACTCCCCCTATAAAACCATTGTAATGAAATTGGTCTTGAAATGACCTCTGGTAAGGTAATCTCGAAACTACCTTCCCTATCTGCTAAATAGTTTTGTAAGGGAAGTTATGAGGCCATTTTTTTACGCATCAGCGGGCCCACTAATGAGCGAAGCGCTAAAGTCATGCAGAACTTCAACTCTAACTCCACGGTCGGCTAAAATTTTCAAGGATCACTTCAACCAACCATCCTCCCTTGTCAGCTAAATAGTGGCTACTGGAAATTTTACAAAGTTTCGAAGTCGTTTGTCGAAAGAAGTCATTCATCAGCCAACATGATACTAGTGTGCAATAAAAATTATTGCATCATTGTATCCTTCGGTGATTTAGGCATTACTGCATCAACGTGGCATTATCAAAAAAAATTTATGCGTACCAAAAATAGGATAGCACAACTTTCACATTCTAAGCCAATGGCTCGCTAACGTAGATAATTGAGATGCTCCAAAATTTGAAACATGCCCATTTTGCGTTTTGAAGTAAGTCATCTGCCTCATGGAGTACACTAGTGCCTTAGCCACATCACAAAAAGCGGTGTATTTCAAAAGGCGCGATTTTTATTGCCACATGAATTACAGGGCTCCTAAATTGCAGAGTCGTTTGCACCAGCGGTCGCGCGATCGCCTCGCGCCCGGGCATCAATGGCGCCGCCTCGATCGATGGCGCCGGCGCCGGCAAAATGCCCGAGCGCGACGCGGTCGCGCGACCGCTGGTGCAAACGACTCTGCGATAGGAGCCCTGTAGCACACATTTGTTTTTACAAAGTTCTAGAAGTATGCAAAGTTTTGAAGTAGATATCTCGGACAATTTTATGGGTTGATTAGTCTTCATTTTGAATTTGATTTAAAACAAGTATTTAGATAGTCAAAAATCTGGAAATGCAAGTGATCACAAATTCATGAATATTTCATCAGTTTTCTGGCAAAAGCAGTCAAACTGAGCAAGTGGTAACTCCAAACAGCTAGCAAGCTAACTCACATTGTCCGTTACTTTGTAGAGATTTGTATAGTTCTAAACTGTATTTCTGCGTTGATGATTACTGGAGAGATCGTGCCTCTTGACCGTCTCACCACAGAAGGTCGAATTGACCGTTTAAGTTTGAGGAGAAATTTCGCATCTAACAAGGGGAGGATACTTGGTCGAAATGGCAAATTTATATAAAATGTGCACTATCTTACAGAGCACGAAATTCTGAATTCAAAATGTGTTTTCGATATTTGCAAAGCGCTCCTGGAAGGAGAATTGTGGGGATTTTCTAAGTAAGAATTTTGACGTGTTTCTGTAATGGAGTTATTCAGAATTGTGATTGAGCTCAAATGGAGCCATTATTACTGCCAAGGCACTTCACGGCAATATATACCTTCAGTTCATTAAACTTATTAGTCATCACTCCTTTCATGTGCCGGAAAGACCTCAACACTTAGTTTCATCTTAAGAAAATCTTTGAATTTTTACCTCAAAAAGTACCCATAACTACCCACCCAGAAGCGCTTTGCAGACAACGGAGTGCAGATCTGGAATCAGCATTTGATGTTCTATAAGATAGTACACATGTCCTATGAAAACGCCACTTCGACTAAGTATCTTTCCCTTTAAGAAGATTATGTACGTTACGTTACGTATGTACGTTTTGCAATACGGCATTTGTACCTCTTTCAAGAGAAGAATGGTAGAAAAGTTTTTTAACCGATGACGGACGGCGATGGCGATGGACGGCGATGCGGACATTCGGTGATTGACGCACTTTTTGCAGCCAGGGACGTGCAGGCCAAGCATTTTTTTCTGCTTTTTGCACTCGGGAATACTCTGGGTTCCTGGGAACTTTTACCCCTTCCCAAAAAGATGTTTGAAGTTGTTTACAAAGCAACTTTACGTCTCGCATAAACCACAAAAATTTTCGCCGCCGAAAAGTATTGCCGCGATACCGCGTCGCTCCGCACCGCCAGGCGAAGGTTAGGCATCGTCGTCAGTGGGTTAGAGTCTGTCTTATGTTTTGGATGGCTTGTATCAAAAAAAAGGTTACATCTGCATAAACGTACATAGAGGCTCAGTAGGAAGATTTCTAAATGGGGTGCAAACGTGCGCAATTCTGTTCCTACTCATCAAAATCAACGTTTTGATGTGAACTTACTTGACCACAAAAAGTTGCTTCGAAGTTGTAGGGGGTTTCACATCCCAAACAAGTTCTACACTTGCAATTATACCCCAATCTTGCTTTACTGTGATACTCAATTTATGTGCTGGAGTCGCGTCTTGATCTCCTTGAGCAGATGCTAAAACATACAATTTTACAAATTGTAAGACTAGAGCCACGGTGACATGAGATTGTATTGTTCTAAGCGAGAAATGACACTGTCAATCTCAATACCTTGCGCATTTCGTCGCACATATCAACATGACTGAATTTTTGTGTTTGAATGATGGATGTATGAGCTGCATTATACAATACCGCTCTCAGAACGTGCAAAATTTCCGTGAATGTCGCGGAAACCCCGGAATTCCGCGAAGGACCGCGAAATTTTCGGAATATCGCCATAACTTACTTCGGAAGGCATAAATTCTGGATCTGAAACAGGGTTATACTCAGCTCATTAAGGCTAATCTTTTGGTACCTTGCCTTACCGTAATTCTCGGGGCACGATTGATGCACGATCTGAGTGAATTTTGCATTTTGGGAGAGAGGACGTGGGTGTACGGCAGCAGTGAATCCTTTTGCGATTTTTCTGAAATTCTAGGGAGGGGAAGGAGGGGGGGGGGGGGAGGAGTAATCAGTGTTATTGGGTGTGGTTAGTTCTAAAATATGCGAACATGCCGTGATGATGCCGTCGATGTTGTTTTTCCCCTCCTCTGTTTGTTTAGTAGCTTCAAGCACCTATTTATTACGAAGGGGTGGGTACGAGTACAGGACACGAATATTGTGTTCACCTCCCCCTCCCAAAATGCAAAATTCATCTCAGACCGTGCACCAATCGTGCCCCGAGAATTACGGTAAGGCAAGGTACCAAAAGATTCGCCTCAATGAGCTGAGCATAACCTTTGTTTCAAATCCAGAATTTATGCATTCCGAAGGAAGTTATGGTGATATTCCGAAAATTTCGCGGAATTCCCGGAATTCCGCGACATTTCCGGAATTCCGCGACATTCCCGGAATTCCGCGACATTTCCGGAATTTCGAGACATTTCCGGAATTCCGCGACATTCCCGGAATTCCGCGACATTCCGGGAATTTCGCGACATTCCGGGAATTTCGCGGAATTTTCGGAATATCGCCATAACTTCCTTCGGAAGGCACAAATTCTAGATCTGAAACAAGAATTATACTCAGCTCATTAAGGCGAATTTTTTGATACCTTGCCTTACCGTAATTCTCGGGGCACGATTGGTGCACGGTCTGAGATGAATTTTGCATTTTGGGAGAGGGGAGGTGAACACAATATTCGTGCCCTGTACTCGAACCCACCCCTTCTAGTAATAAATAGGTGCTTGAAGCTACTAAACAAACAGAAGAGAGGAAAAACAACATCGACGGCATCATCACGGCATGTTCGCATATTTTAGAACTAATCACACCCAATACCACTGATTACTCCCCCCCCCCCCTCCCTAGAATTTCAGAAAAATTGCATAAGGATTCACTTGCTGCCGTACACCCACGTTCCCTCTCCCAAAATGCAAAATTCATCTCAGACCGTGCACCAATCGTGCCCCGAGAATTACGGTAAGGCAAGGTACCAAAAGGTTCGCCTTAATGAGCTGAGCATAACCTTCGTTTCAAATCCAGAATTTATGCATTCCGAAGGAAGTTATGGCGATATTCCGAAAATTCCGCGAAATTCCCGGAATGTCGCGAAATTCCGGAAATGTCGCGATATTCCGAGTACTCTGCGTTGATACCACTGCTTCCGGGGTTTCCGCGACATTCACGGAAATTTTGCACGTTCTGAAAGCGGTATTGTAAAGGGTGTCCCAAAAAATATCCCTACTGTTTGGTTCGATCGTTGATATCTTTTTTTGCGCTGATGTATCTCGCCAATCTTCAAGCACCACTCCATGAAGCTGGCTTTAGCTTAAATTTGCGGTTTAGAGCAAACTACATGCCAGTTATTTTTCGCTACTGTAGAATTAGGGTAGGAGTTTTGACGAAGGCATTACTGAGGATAAATCTTGTCTCATAAAAAGATTTCGAAAGAGCTGAAAATATTGCCAGTGATTAATTCAAGACTCCAATTTCAAAAAGGACCTTGCATGTTACAAGTTACGCCGGGTACGCCAAAAAAACAACGTTTCAAAATTCATACTTGATAACAGTATCTTGAGTTGCGTTGTAGATCTATAGCTTGTTTTCAATGTGATCTCGTTTTTTTCAGACAAGCGTAACGTAACATCTTGAAACAGATTCTTCATAGCAGTTTCAAAAACGACTCAGAAAATGAGTGAAAACTACAACCTTGCCATGACCAAGTTCCTCTATTTCTATCACCCACTAAGCAGTCTAAATCGATGAATAGAGCAAATCAAATCCTATAGGATGCAAAACAACTTTTTTCTCTTTTCCAAAAGTCTTCACAGCTTTTAGGTAAATTTTTTATCAACCATCAATTTTAGCAGGCCTTTCTCAAACAGAAACTCCATCAATAATAATCTTTGGAATTTCAGAGTTTCAAAAATGACCTTTTATTAACACTTATTAAAAAGCAAATGAGCGTTCGCGTATTTGAAATATCAAATCTCGAATTTTTGAGTGTAGTTTCAGTTTTCTTCAAAAGCACGAGCCATAATAATATCATAATTTTATGCCTAAAGACTTTACGAATCGAAAGCAAAAGACATCTGCTAGAAAGAAACATCGAATGACATCTAAGTCCCTCTCCGGTTAATGTCCTACGAGACCAATCTTGGGACTCGAATGCATCAAAAAAGTATTTAAAAACTTTGCAAAGCAAGCAATGAAAAGGAGAAAACTGTTTTGTATCCTCTAGGGTACCTCTACTTACCACTTACCTGAGCTTCTTCGAGGGACAGTCCAAAAAACTAGAATATTAGAAAGATCTAATCATGGCAAATCGATGGATAGTAGTTTTCCAAACATTTTGTGAGAGCTCCTTGGTGCCAAAATGCTTTCAAGGACCGGTTTTGAGGAACCTGTTTCGCGAAATTTTATGCTTTTTTAGAAAAGCGAAATTACTTTACGCTGTTACGCTGATAGAAACGATCATAGGAACGACATATGATCGGCTAAAATCAGCGCAGAAAACTTCAGCCAAGAAATCATTGGTGCTTTATTGGGGAATTTCTGCATTTGCAGCTAATTTTCGAATGCCGCAATGCTGGAAGTCTCTAAAGTGATCTACAGTAGCAAAAGTCGATCGGCATTCGCACTTTATTGTATATCTAAGTTAAAGCCCTAAAGAATGGCACCTAAGGATTGCCGAAACACGCCAGGGCAAAAGAGATATTTTGAATAAAGTAAGGGGATTTGTAGAACATCCTGACCGTGAGATATGAGATAGAGATTACTCGACAAACGTATTTCTCAACACAACAACTGTGCAGGTTGTTGCGCACACAGCAACTGTGCAGGTTGTTGCGCAAATGAGTAAAGGCAGCAGGTACAGTCAGATTCGCATAGCCCCTGACGATGTACCATGAAAACACCGTTTGGCCCAGTTCTACATGCTTATCCCGCTCACACTGCCAAAATCGAATCAGTGAAGCTGACAGCGATTTTGCAACAGTTGACTAATTTTCGAGTTCCATTCTTGACCTGTAACCGTGCTCCATTTTTATTCGTATTGATACTGAAGCTGTGCTTTCCTTCACAATGATACTACTGATATTTTGATGGTGCTGTTTTTGTCTTATTCTTGTCATTCTTGACGAAAAAAAAGGTAGAGATTTGTTCTCAAACAAATCACTATTGAGAGTAAAACAGCAAAGAAACGGGAGCAAAAAGCTACTGCCGCTTAGGGGATTTTTGGCTGCTTGTGCTGCGCCGCGCATTGAGAACTCACCATACAGTCTGCCTTAATCCTAACCAGGCGAAAATTGGCATGGCGGGAGTCCGCGTCGCTAGGGTTGTGCGGTCACGCCCACGGCCTGCTTCTCTACTCTCTCTCCAATCCTTTTGCTCTCTCCGACAGCGCGCATATGCAGCGCAAACGCTTGGCGCTGCGAGCGCGCAAATCTACGCCGACGGTTCGGCCTGCCCAATTGAAGCAGACTGTACATCAGTTTGCGCGCAGTGAAAGTCGTACCCCGGAAATTACTGCGTCTTATACCCCGGAAATTAGGGTAATTTTTAAAGATGTGACATTAAATGTCTGCCAAACTCAAACATTCAAACTCTCATAATCTCGGCAGATATTGAAGTAAGATTTGGAATCAGCTCATCGAGGCGCACCCAATGGTTTGCATATCATTTCGTTTCGCCACTGCGATCTGGTATCCTTCCTTTGTAAGAAGACTAGGACACACCGGTGCGTATGAGACGATTTTTTCCCGCTTGGAATTCAAAAAGAAAGTCTAGGCATTGATGTGGGGAAAACCGCATTGTGTGGTTGAGCTCAATCTGAGCAAAATGTGACTTGAAGGCAATGTCCGGGCAAGAAGTTGATTTCGAGATTTTGTGCTTATTCGGACCTATTCGCTATGATGAATCCGAAAACCCACACAGGAAGCGCTTGATTGGCAAAAAAAGGACTTTAACGCAGAAGGGAAATCAGCAGGGAGCGTGGTCTTCCCCACGGTATAGGCTTACCAACCAGCATCGGTTATGCGACTCGCGCCTGCGGCGACTTGCGACGATGCGATCTGGCGCGCGCGAACTGTGCCACGCGGGCACGCTGCATGCGACGGTGCGTCGTCGCAAGGCCTGCTGGCGCGGGACCGATGCCGGCTGATACAGTCTATATATTTACGCTCCCAACTTCCGGAGCGATCTTCTCAATTCCGTTAGCCTTCCTGACATCGTCACTGGCCAAGTGCAAACGCGTGATTTGAAGTGAAACCAGCAAGATCGCTCCGGAAGGTGGGAGCGTGAATCCACAGTGGCTAAGACCAAATAATAATTTCCATCATCCTTAAAGTCCTTTTCCGCCGTTTTTGCGCTCTCCAGTGTGGATTTTCGGTTTCAGCATAGCGAATAGGCCGGGTAAGCACGAAATCTCAAAATCAACTTTTTGGCCGGACATTACCTTTAAAGCTAATGTCCAGGCTAAACCTAACCCCCTCCGATTAGTGTCGGTCCTGAGTGTAAGCCCCAGAAAAGGGGCATCTGCGTTGGTCTGGTTTTCTAACGTTGTCTCTGAATGGAGATAAGGAGCCTGGAAGTCCCTATCTGGGCGGAGTCTGATATCAGACTCCGCCCAGATAGGGTCTGCCTCTCGACACGTACTACATGGCAATGAGTAGAAGTTGCACACTGCTGTAACTGCACCCATGAGTTGCAGCTCCTACCTGCTGGCATGCCGACGAGGACGAGCGATTCGAAACTCGTCCACGCCCTCAAGACGGTCCCCAGGAATCGGGTTTTTTTGTGAATTTTGAAGAGTTTGAAGTTCGAAACTGTAATTAGGGCCACAAAAAGGCCCCAGAATGACGAAAAAAAGAGGGCCAAATTCTGGGTGGACGCTGCCTTTAAGGTCAGAGTTTTGGGTTTTGATACGCTCTCACTCAATTTCACTTACCAGTGAGGATGAGGAGAAACAGGGCATTCAGTGACGCGCATTGTCTCCAAAGCAGGTTTCCTACCATTGCTTGAGTGACCACTTCTCGAAGGAAGGCCGTAACGAATGAATGCCACATTTCCCCAATGCCTCTCCAATTTGACGAGGCTTTACATGTATAATCTTTTCCCAGCTTTAAAACAAGCGCAAAATTGGTAGCTCAAACGTGGCAGTCTTCACAATAGTGAATACAAAGCAATACTTTGCAGGCATCAAAGGTTTATCCATGTTACCACATGTCTACGAAGCTTACTTTGCTCTACGGCTGGAGAGAATTATTAGGCATTCCCTGACAAAGACCCCAGACATACTACTCGTCTAAGCCAGTGTTTTATGCTGCATCTAATATCGTTCTTTTTCCCCCAAAATGTAGCGGGCGGAGCTTTGCCAACGTATGCGCGTGGCAGCATTTGGCACCTAGAGAGTAAAAAAAAATAATGCTTTAGAATGGAGGTTCAACAAGTTTTTCAACGTGTTCAAATGTCTGCAGGGCCACGCTCGCTATACGCATGGGAATCTCCTATACATAGTAAGCAGCTTGTTTGGATTGGCCACTTCAGTTTCTAACCGTTCCTTGTTAGGCGGATCTTTGGTAACTTCCCTGTTGTTGCTTTGTTCCATCGAATGATACCTTAAGTTTGCTAGGAGAACAAGACTTGATTTATTTAAAAAGAATTTCACTTTTGGGACAATCTAATAGCTATTAGCTTCGAAAGCCAAAAATCGCAAATAAGCTCGTGAAAAACTGAAAGATAGACAATTTGTGAAAACTTTTGTCATGCCACAGCAACCTAACTGCATATTTTGGCCTAGTAATAAGTCCCAGAGATGCATATTTATGTTAAATTATGCATTTTGCGTACAGGGTTTCCTTGCAATGGTTTAATAAGGCTCAAGGCGCTTAACAGACGAGAAAAAGTAATTTAGAGTCAGCGCGTTCTATACCTCACCCACTGGTATGCAACGTAGTACTGACCACTTTTACTTCTGACCTTTCTTTGTAACATCCTCCTAGGGTGGAGGACATTAGGTCGCCGAATTTGGAAGAGTCCCGCGCGGATTCCCTGCAGGAACGCATGTCCGCGCATGTGCAAGGGTGCTTATTTGTCGCAAATGACCGCGGGGACCGCACTTTTTCGGCGACCTAATGTCCTCCACCCTCCTCCTACGAACCTTTCGGCAACAGTGAAATCCCTCAAGCGTTTGGCCAAACGCTACAAATTTTTAGCCTCAGACAATTTAAGAATATATAAACTTTCCCTATTCAAAATTCCATTGAGGCCAGAGCGATTCTATCTAAAACAAACCATTTTTTTGCTGTATCATCAGACGCTTTGCCTGCAAACAGTGCCCTAAAAGCACTTTGCTTTTTCCTTCAAAACAGCACATATCTCGACGCCGTCCCCAGCACGTAACGTCTATTTTTCAGTCACGTACACACTGATAACTGATAAATTGATCTATGAAAGCTATTTCTCCACACATCTTCACTGATAGTGTCTGAAAACATGATGCACCATTCAAACGTTCTATGGTTTCGATTTCTACAGTTACCAAGTACATGAAAGGCCAATCATCTTATAGGATGGGCGAAAAAAATTAACAGTGCAGGCATCTTGCAAATTGACCATCAAACTGACACCATCGCTTGAAAGCCTCAAAGAGGAGAAATAGAGTGAATGAATTCAGACAAGTTTCTAACATCTATGTTTGATTTCTGAAAGATAAAATAAGAAGAAATTTACACTCAACCGGTTTCGGGCCTTAGAACTATACCGGTAGAGTAGCTTTCCTGGTGGCCCTCTTCAGTAGTTCCCAGGAAAGCTGCAAAAGTTCTTGAAAGCCTATATAGTGCTATCAAAAAGCCAAAAGGCGTTAGCTAAGTTCAAGTAGAACAAAAACAAGGGTAACGGTAGGAATGCGGATGAACTATCTCCAAATGAGATGAGATATGTGTAAATGAGTTGTGATCCCGCCATCTACTCAGATATATATGTGTGTGTATGCCTGATTTGAATTCGACCTAATTAATCTGGCGCGCGGGCGCGTACAGCAAAATGGTAAGATCAAATATTGAAAAATTACTGGACTCTAAGGCTTCACAGGTCTATAGTCTTAGTGCATAAGGTTGCATTATGAAGGGTATTTGAGCTTAAATGTGAGTCTATTGAGACTATACCTACCAAACTTTGAGCCTAAAATTAATTTCCCAGTGTAACTATCAACTAAAAATTCTGTTACAATGATTTTTAGCGTATTCCCACAATGATATTTTGTGAACTGAGATTATGTCCTCCAGAGTTCCCTTATTTCATGAACCAAAGGTAGATGTACAGCTACGTCAAAGCCATATTTACGCAATATGTAAGGGTTATCCCTCAAAGTATGACATAAGGTCCTAATTAGTATTCTTTCCTCCCTGAACATCGGTGGATAAGTGATATTGCAGGATTACTCGTACCCGAATGAAAAAGAAATTGTGCTAGAAATTCCAAACAAAATGGTGACTACTTGGTTGATGCTTTTGGTCATTAGAAGTGGATTTATCAGGATTCGCTACAAAATCTGCATTTGCACTGACTTTTAAACCTTGTACCTTCATTGGCTAGCATGCAGTGAAGATCTAGTTCCAACTCATCTTTTACGAAGATCCTTATCGATTTTCTTTTGCAGAAAAAACTCAGAAGTCAGATCTACATTGATTATTATTAACATTTATTTTGTTGATATCGCTTCTACAGTCGCGGGGTAAATTTATCCCGTCCACAGTGACGAATCGTCTCTGCATGCGATGGATCGCCTAAACAGCACTGCTATTCTAAGCATCTAGGTGAGCAAATCAATTGGTCATTCCACCAATCATTTTGGCTATCTTTTACTTCGTGCTAAGTTATCACAAAGTATGCACTAATTTTAGGTTGGTGCAAAGTAATGCGCGTTTTGCGAGTTCTCACTTTGACGTGTTATAACTTTCTGAAAAATCTACTTTTTCAATGCGATAAAAAAAATTAGAGGTACCAAGCCTTTCGCAACATAGAGCACATCTTCCTATATCCATACCACCATCGGGCAGAAAAATATGGATTGATAAGCAGAACAAGTTTTTTTCCGAAACTTCGTCTTTAACTAATCATAACTTACTTCGTCTTTAACCAATCATAACTTTCTTCAAAATTTGTTAATAGAGATAATAAGTAGCCTATGTTGCAGCCGGAAGTCAGCAGTACAAAAAAGTCGAAAAGCGTTCAAATAAAGAGTATTTGCGAATGGGAAATAATCAAAATCCAAAATTGTCCGCTTTTCTGGACATTTCTTCGCTGGCCAAAAAACCCCAAAATATGGGGTTTTTTGATTTTCTGCGCAATGAACAGCTCACAATTCTGTAACTGTTAAAAACTGTTAGTAGGAGGCCTACTCTTACGCTGACAGAAATGAGCAAAGCTTTAGCGATGCCCTCTTCAAAGGAAACTTATGGATCACAGAATGATCAAAACACTGCCCATGTTAAGGCACCAAAATCTCAGTTTAGGTAATTGCTGAGAAAATAGTACAGTGCGCGTAATGTAGGCAATTTCCATTAAATACAGAAGCTAGAGTTTCATAAGTTTGTCTCTATTTGGGCATGATTTCTGGCCAGAAAAGTGAATGCAATAAAATTTTGGTTTCGTGTACGATATGTGAAGCTCTCATTTTTTAACTAATGAAGCTAGAAGCCCGTTTCAACCACCATTGGATTGAGGATGAAAGGAGCTTCTTAAAAGTTGCTAAGTTTTTCTCGAAGAAGAAAGTTTGATGGAGAAAAGTTGTCCTAAATTAAGGGCTAGAAAAACGCGCATTACTTTTGCACCAATCTAATACATAGAAAACAAAGGCAATCCTGCACATTCACTGCGATTGGATGAATCACATCATTAGCACATTATCATTGCTTCTCTTGACCATTATCTGGCGACATGGTATCATGATCCATTTGAATAATGAATTTACAATGATTTTACCTAATTTTACCTACTTAGACAATTCAACGTAACCACAAGACAAGCAAAATTTGCAGCCGTTCCTCAGGATTTTGTTTACTGTCGCAAAAGTGGAAATGTTGAAAACGGGAACTTCCGCAGGACTTTTTACAATGCGCTGCGGAACTTCCGAAAAATGCAAGCTATTCCGCAGCACTTTGACATGAGAGTATTTCCGCAGGGTTTGAATGTGTTATCTGTTGCATTACCGGACATGTCAGCCGTATTGCAGAGGATAGCAAGTGAGTCTCACAGTTGATAGAGTAAGGTCCAAATCTCGTAGCCTTTCTCGGAACTTCCGCAGCACCTCATTTTGGGGATTCAGCACATTGACGGAGCTTCCGCAGGTGAGTAGGCGGAGCTTTCGCAAAGGTTCTGCGGAAGTTCCGGTCAGTTGTCTGAATAGGTGAGTTTGTGTTTCTACCAAAATCTTTTGCAGCAACCAGATTTTACATTCTCACAGTACTAATTAAAAGCCTTGGCGCTATATGCTATGCACACTTTACCATGGTAACGGCCCGGACTTTGTTCTGTCACCAATAAAAAAATGGAAAACTTGTCCTTTGCAACATATAGCTCTTGAAATTGCAACAAAGGGGGTAGTTTGTAGATATATAATGCTATCGCTAAAATTTGCTGCTTTTATTGGTTGTATGAGAAGAAAACTAACAAAAAGGCTACTGCGACAATCAAGATGATTTCATATGCGGTCTTCAAACTTGAGTATAATTCTTTTTCTTGCACATTTCATATCGTTGCTTTTATATTATATTATACCAGCTCAGGATACACAAAGTGTCTAGACCCTTAAAAGCTTACTTGTGGCGAGTTTAATATCATCTGGCAATGAGTAAATGTTCGCGCCTAACGACATACATGCGCAGCAAAAGAATATATTGAAGGTTTCACAAATAGGATGTTTTCGACGGGGTGGAAGTTCCGTGTGAAAAATAAGTTTTAATTTACTAGTTCAATATCACAGATCTCATTGACTTTTTTCTAGGGCCAGGGAGGTTTTTGTGCAACAAATAGTCGGATGGACTTATGCGGATGCCTTGAGACAAGTAATCAAAATTTTTCTTCCTACTCTATAGTAAGTTAAATTTTAAACAGGTCTTCCCTCGAAGGACGATTTTTGAAGTTTGACAAGGCAGCTTTTGTTGGCCTGTCGAAGAATGAGTCAAACATTTTGAATGGGACATGCATCATAAAGGCCTTGAAAAGCTTCTATGTCTGCCCTTGATCCTGGGCTTTCTTCGGAGAGCTGTCATTTTTCGTACTTTTCGCGCACAAGTCGCCATTCCATTAGATAAGATAAGAAGATCGGCGAACTTGGTCATTGTGCTGTCCTGTGCTATGAAGGGCGTGTATGAGCTGGACTGTATTGGGCTGTGTCTTGTCAATTCTTTAGCAGATCGTTGGCTAGGATTGATATTTTTGATAGTTCCTGTTCAGTTTAGCATCAGAAAATTCTAAACGAGATTACGATACAATGTATCGAATTTCAAACACTCCGAAGAGTGGCTAGGGTATTGAACTTTTCAAGGAAGGTGGTGTACTGTTTCGTAGAGACAATTTGCGATTGAGCAATTCAGTGATAAACAAAATACCGTAAGAAATTAATCTGTATGGCGAACGCTCTAAAAGTGTACTCAATCTTTTCACTATTGTTAAGATAGAATGCGCACTAGTATTGCGCTTATCAGCTTGCAGAACAATCGTCAACAAGTATATGTTGATGCGAAAACTGACAAGGGAAATCACTTAACTAAGGTCGGCCTTTTGAAATGAGACACACATTTTTAGAATCATCTCGGAACGCTGATTCCAAATATGCTGTCCTTAGCTGCGAAGCGTTTCTCTGAAGCGAGTTATGAGCTTTTTTCTGAGCAAAGCTTGCGTGTTGACCGCCTTACAGATGCCACGATATTATCATCTAGGTAGTGGTTCAAATGCCTAATACACTCTATCAAGGCTAAATGGCTCATTTTTATGTTATTTCGATTTTCCATCATTTTTTGGAGCAGATTCCGTCTACAGTCCTTTTTTCCATATTTAGTTGTATGTCAATAACACATGTTAAAAAGCTCATAACTCGCTTTAGAAAAACGCTTCGCAGCTAAGGACGGCATATTTGGAATCAGCGTTCCGAGCTGACTCTAAGCATATGTGTCTCACTTCAAAAGGACGACCTAAGTTAAGTGACTCCCCTTGTGAGATAAGGCTTTGAGGGTACGGGAGGATGGTAAGTGATTATTAGTCGGTGAGAAAATCCATCAAAACAGCGAATAATATAGTGGTGTCATTTGTGGCTTAAAATAAGACAAAATCTTTTTTTTAAATAATTGTAATTGTTATATACCTACTCTAATTTTTAGCATATATGGTTTGTTATTGATATCAAATGAAATGGAGGAGTTCTCTCTCTCGTACGTCTTAACAGCCTTATCTCATTTCATTCCACTTCCACTGGAATCTTATCCAGTTAATATGCTACGAATATGAATAGCACCCAATCAAATAAAAGCTAAACAGCTTCTTGTTTAGAATGTTTTGTGTTCCCTTGCACCTTTCTCCCTTTCAGTGACGGAAATGATTTACGAATCGGCGTGGAAAACGCTTCTGTTTACCATGCTCAACCCTGGTCGACCTATGATCGGACATCACCTCGCGTTCCTGTAAACTTACCGTGCTATCGCCTTCCCCGAATCGGAACTTCTCATTTCGATTGTATTAGGTCGTTCCAAAAGTAATGTCGCTTTTTTCAGATGTATGCCACATCTCGTGGAACAAAGAAATGTAGGAAATTCTGGGAGCATTTGATGCAGCATTTCATTCTCTTTCTAAAGGTTATGAAGATGTTGCAATACAATCAATGAGCTTTTAGAAAAGAGTCAAAATCTGCAACCTATGCTTTTTGAGATGGCCAATTCACAATTTTTCTAAAATTTTATAACAAACCTCAGAAGTAGTCCAAGTAATGGATGGATGGAGCAAACTCTACGGGAACAGCACAACTTTTTTCTGCTTTTCAGAGCTCGTCATAATTTCTGTATAGATTTTTTGATGGAAGCACCGAATTTTAGCAGGCTCGTCTGAGACACAAATGCATCAAACATCAAGAAATCGTCGGATTTTGAAACTTACAAAAATGGATTATGGTTTTACACTAACTTTACAAAGCAAATGAGCGTTTACCGCTTCAGATTAGCAACTTTCGAAAATTCCGGGTACAGCCGGAGGCGCCCTGGAAAACCTGAATTATGATGATTTTATCTTGAAAAACTTGATGAATCGGAAACCAAAAACAATTGGTAAAAAGAGGAGAAAAAGCTGCGTCGAATGACACCCGAGTTGCTTGCCGGTTGTTGTTCTATGAGGTTTGAGTTGACCAAATATGGAATTTGATGGCATTTTAGAACTGATTCCAGAAACTCTAAGAAGCAAGCTAAGGAAAAGAAAAAATTACTCTGTGTCCTATAGGGTTTGCTCTATCTACGTGCCACTTGTACTTCTTCGGGAAATAGGTACAAAAATTCTAAAAAATTGCCGAACTTGACCATTGCAAAAAGCATGAGTTGCAGATTTTGTTAATTTTTCGAAAGCTCAATGAAAATTATGCAGTGAAATTACAACCATTAGAAAGAGGATGAAATGCCGCATCGAATGCTTCTATTTCTTGAAAATCTTGATTCCATGAAATGTGGCGTTCATTCGAAAAAAAGCGACATTACTTTCGGAACGACCTAATATATCTCTTCTCAAAAGGCTTGATTGGTCTTCTGGTTTCCTTGATTCCGTTTTAACAGAGAGTGGCGTTATAAAGCCTTCATATTGGATATTAGATCGATGAATGAGCTCGCACAAAAATTACAATAGTAAAAATTTGTTTTATAATGTGGAAGATCTTGAATGTATAAGCTACCTTTTAGAAAATTTCGATAATATCACGGATTTCATTCGAATTAAAGTAAAAGATTCATGACCATTGTTGGAGACAACTCATTAGCGTGAATTTTTTTTAGTCAGCAACATTGATCGTAAAACCGAAAACAAAACTAATGTTAGACTTCAACGAAAATTCTCAGTACTAGAAAAAAATTTGAAAACCATTAAAATATGCTCGATCAGTTTATGTCGCTGCGAACTGTCACCAAGAATTTTTGATACAAACACTCATATAAAGCACAAGATTTTTTCAGCATGAGGCAAATCAGAGATTTTGCTATTATATAGAGATCACGAAATTTCAAAAATTTTGGCAGACAACTTATGCATCAACCTAATACTTATTAAAGCTACCCATTTTGTTTTGATTAGGGACTTCCTTGTAGCACTGAACTACATGCGCGATTCAACCAAATCTATCCAAGTTTTTTAAAGCATCAGGTATCTCAAGGTGCATATTTTTCAACTAATTCTTAATTAGTACTTCTAATTCTTGTGAAGTTTGAAAATATTAGGAAGTTTATTTTTAACACGTTGCAGTCTTACAAACGTTCTTATACCTAAAGTGGTAGACGGATCATAATTAGTTTTGCAAAATATGCACTATTTTTCTGCAAGGCCCTATCCTATACTGACAGTGTGTTGTGAAGGTGAATCACACAGATCGTTATAAATAGCATAGTTTGCCGAACGGTACAACCGTTCATTTCTGATCTCCTCTATCTGTTTGGTCAATTTCTCCCCGGACAGCTTTGTTTGGCGGGATTTGTGTTCGTTTCCACCCACCTTCCATAACGCACCACTTACAATTTTGCACTTTTCTGCACTTTCGTTTACTTACTATCAACTTTTTTACTATTTCGTCTGATTATCCTGACACCGGTTACCAGCATATATAAGGACACATGGGTTGCTATTTTTGCGTTAACTAACGACTGTGTAAATGAGAGTCCATTTTTTTATATCTGGCTCGACACGATTTTGCCCAATTTTTTTTAAGGAGAATCATCCAAACAATTTTGATCTTCTGTACAATTCAACTCTCTAATAACCTCACCAAAGATGTTTGTCTACTCCCTTATACTGCTTAAATCACACTTCAAATCCGCTAACCACTCGTTTTTCCGCCGGTTATCAGGCGATTTGACTCCGCCCAAGTAGGGCATGACCTTCAGCCTTGTGATAACACAATCCCAGTAGTGGTTTTGTCCTAGTATCGCTTTCCAACCCATTTTCGACGTTGCCCCGTTTTTAATTGCCTTTTTTGCAGATAAATTATGGAATCCCAAGTGCGTCAGAATTACGCAAAAGAATGCGAAGCTGCCATCAATAAGCAGGTATGTGCGGGATTGGAAAAAGAATATTCTGGAATTCGTAGTCCATATTCGACTGTACCATCACTATTTTGCTACACCTATCCACTGTTGACGCTGATATAAACTTCTGGTATATCGCAAAATTTGGATGATTTTATGCTTCCTTTTTCTCCCAAATTGCATTAACTATGCCGGTAATGGAAATAGCCCCAGTCCAAAATTGTTGAAAAAATTTTGCAGCTGGTAAATCGAAAATTGTAGTCGTTTTTCACAAGGTTGAATGAGTGTTTTTTTCCAAGGGTATATCTCGCTTTTTTGAAGTAAATTCCGTTTTTTTTTTCGGGGACATCTCACAACTTCAGCTGCATTAGTTAAGATGTAGCTCTAACACGAGAAATTTTCAAACTTTCGACACTATACATATTCAGATTAACATCGAACTATATGCTTCATATGTCTACCTTTCCATGTCGGTTCATTTCGACCGTGATGACGTCGCACTGAAGAACATCTCTAAGTGAGTAAACATCTATCGAGCTAATAAACAATGCATGACATCATGTCCGGTTTGCTTCTATAGAAAGCAAGCTAGTTTGGCTGATTACACATGCCTTTGGCGAACAAAGGCTCTCTAAATAATATTATGCCCTAAGTTAGACAAATAGAGTTTGAAGACTGCAGTCCTTCTTCATCGCACCTCATGATCGTAAGTAAATTTTTGGTTTACAAAGAACGGATGCGATTGCCTAACTGAGAAGGTACTTGCAAAAAAAAACAAGACAGCTTTTCCCTGTTTCTCTGTACTGCAAGTAATATTAGGCTATTGAGAAGACTACGAGAATTGATTGACCTTAGTATGCGGGAAGTTTGCTTATCAGTAGTTTACAACGTAACAAATGCACTCGCGAGAGAGTTCCCACAAGTGCGTATTACGAAAATGCTGAAAAATAAGAACGGGCAAGATAGTTAGAAGTAAAGACCGTCGTCGTTAATATACTCATTTCATAATTTTCTGTCACAATTCCCCCCGTAGTATTTGCGCTTGTAAAAAGTGAAATCAAAATGAAGTATAGGTATAAAATACAATTTACGCTTCAGTAGATTCGACGCCTAATATGGTGTCCTTGCGGTGACGACAACATTTGCGCGAAAACAGATGCTATGCTTGTGGCTGCCTTGCTTGCGACTTGCGCGCAATGCCATCGCTTACGCGTAATTGTTGTCGGCCACGCAAAAGCACTTATATGTAAGGTCAACCGGGCTTGTACATCATCAAGACCTTATAATAACGGGCTAAGGGTTGTTTATGTGTTTTTGTGTGTGTGTGTGTGTGTGTGTGTGTCCGTCTGTTACGAAATTCGTAGAGCGTGTTCCAGCCAGCGTTTTAAGCCCAAATTTTGCATAGCGCATGCTACCTTCGTGAAAGTTCAACGTGCAAAAGCACGAATAGATTCGTTGAATGGGTCCCTCAGAAATTGCGCGCCAAACGGATCCACCTGGCTTCTGTCCCGCAAAATTGGGTCCATATCACCACTTTTTGCAAAGTCCTGGATGTATTTGGTAAGCAAATGTGCAAGCGATGGACTTCAGCCCAAAAAGTGGTCAAAAGTTTGCTACATAACGAAAACGGCGCCAGAAAGAGTTGGTTGCGTAAATGGTTAATTTGCTAAGGTTCTAGCGAAGCGTTTCAAAAGATTTTCGCACGGAGATGTAGCTCAAAGGGGACTACCAAGCCATGACAACTTCAGAAACCTATTCAAATTTGCGTTTGTCTTCCTACGAAAAGTTTCATCCACGCGAAATCACCGATCTCACGTGAAAAAACTTTCTGAATGAGTAGCTGTTTACATTTAATTCGTGGTAGTCGGCATAGTGCGGTAAGTTCCATTGCCACGATTTTACGAGAATGAGTAAGGCACATAGATAGTAGAGCCAGTGCGAGCCTCTGCGAAGCAGAGGTGACGCACTGGTAACTTATAATAACGGGCTAAGGGTTGTTTACGTTTGTGTGTGTGTCTGAATCTCTGTCTGTCACGAAATTCGTAGAGCGAGTTCCAGCAAAGGTCTTGAGCTAGAATTTTGGTAGTAGCACCCTATCAGCATATAGGTAGAATATGCAAAAGCACAAGCCGATCCGATAACTGGAACCTGTGAAATTGCGCGCCAAACGGATCCACGCGACATTTCGCGCGCCAAAGTGGGCCTGTAATTGGACTTTTTCCAAAATCATGGTTTCGTTTAGCAAGTAAATCTGCAAACCATGGACTCCAGCCCGATGAGCAAAAAGTTTACTTTCATGCAAGATCGGCGCCAAAAAGGAATAATTGCGTAGATGATTGATTGTCAAAGTTTTACTTGGGATTGTGAGAAAATTTTTGCTCAGAGATGTAACTCACGGTTGTCATCATCTTTCTGGCGACTATCAAGCCAATATAACCCCAGTAACTGATCCAGAATCGCATTTAATCTTTTGGAAAATACTTTTTCTCCCTCAAAGTCACCGATCTTACATGAAAAAGCTTTTTAAATGAGCAGTTGTTTACGTTTCATACGTGATGATCACCATCGCGAGGTAAGTTTCAAAGCCATCATTTTGCTACTACGAGGAAGGCACGTGGATATTAGAGCCAGTGCGAGCCTCTGCGAGGCAGAGGTGACGCACTGGTCTATATATATGACAAATTATGATCTAACCATTCCAGCTGGTTCCGCAAACAAGCAGATGAGGAAAGGGAACACGCTATTGCCATGATGCACTTCCAAAACCTTCGAGGAGGTCGAGTTGTGATGCAGGCAGTGAATAAGCCTGAGAAGGATGAGTGGGGAAACGCTCTGGAAGCATTCCAGGTAAAAATTATGGTCTGGGTCGGGTAAAGTGTAAAAGAGATTTTTGACTTGTAAGGAGAACATAGGATGTATAGACGTTATTCATCGCACGCAGAGACTGAACGCGTTGCGTGCGTCAAATAGGTTGTTTCCCGAGAAACTGCAGACGGTTAGAAGAATGAAAGTACGTTTGGTCTGGGAGAGGTCGACGTCCGCAATCGCGTCCTGTTTCTGCGTGCGATGACTCGTCGACACAGTGGTGATGAATTGGCGTCCACCACTTGCAACTGCTATAGTTGATCGTGGATATGATTTTTTGACTCTTGATCATCTCCATTCTCTAAACATTGTGGATGATATAAATAAGAGATAGATATTATGAAAAAATAAATAGTCGCACAAGCATGGCTATTTGGGAACAGAATAGAAGTTCAACATAAGTTGATTTACCATCATTATTCTTTCCAGGCTGCGCTCGCCTTAGAAAAGTTCAACAATCAATCATTACTTGAACTTCACGAGAAGGCCACCGCCAACAACGACCCGCAAATGACCGACTTCATCGAATCCAAATTCTTGGAGGAACAAGTGGGTCACAAGAGAACTCGTCCACTTTATCGCAGTCAACGCAAACACTATCATTAATGATATTGCTTCCAGGTGGAATCTATTGCGGAAATCGGAAAAATTATTACCAACCTCAAGCGAGTCGGGACAGGATTGGGAGAATATCTTTTCGAAAGGGAACACTTCAAGGATTAGAATACAGGAGATCAACATGTTCCACTCTATCTATTACTCAAATACCCAATCATCAATCGTGACCTCCGCTACTTTTACACTGTATACTAGTGTCATATGCATGCACATCAATAAAATGCTCAAATAGCTATAAAATTGTAATTTTTTTACTGAATTATATTGTACTACATTGCTCCTGTGATCAGAACGCTGAGAGACAATTATTGCCAAGAAAATTGATTTCTTTTGCATCTTGGAAACTGCATTAGTGGAATGAAGATCAGCGATTTATTACTTTAGGAGCTGCAAAAACTCTTTCAAATTTTATGAATAGTAGAATTGGCTATCTCATGTAAGGAGGATAGTAATTAAAACGTTACGCAAGGACACAATGCTTGCAATTTACCTATTCAATCAACGAGAGATTTTTCTTTGGTGGTGTTGATATCTTATGGGACCTTTCATCGCCGTCTCAATTTGAAATTGTTTACCTGTGATCTTTGACTAGACTGCGCCGAAGCAGGTAGTGCCTGCGTCGTGTTTGCAGTTGATCGTTGTTCACCAGGTAAATTTGGATTCACCTGGGGTGTACAGGAAGTATTCATTCGAACTTATTTTCTAAAAGTATGCAAAGGGTGAAAGTTAGCAGTATACTATGACTTTTTTAAGCTGCACGAAGAAGTGATTGATGACTTATGTTTGTCTTCATGCTAAACAAATTACAAAAAACCCTAACATGGGAGTTTCGAAATCGAATAATTTCGATGTTCTGTAATTTCTTGGTTTTTAGAAGCTTTGACAGATTGGTTTAAGAACTGCTTGAGCTTCTTGGTTCGTGAATTGCTATATCACGGTGATCTCATTTATTGACCTTACGTTTCGACAAAACCTCGTCTTCGGAGGTCTGAAGTATATTGCAGTTACTCATATGCGAGACGAGACCGCTAAATGCCACCAAGATGCCCATGTTCAAAGAAGATTAAGTTATTTCAGCTGTTTAAGTCTGTAAAAATGCTACAAATCGATTCATGTATGAATGCGTGGTATCGTTGGAAAGTGTAGCAAGGAGAATCGTTTGGTCAGCTTTGCTCTCTTAAAAAAATTTTTTTTTTTGATGAAATAGTGCAGGAAGGAGGAATAGTCACGTTTTCTGCATTGCCCAAAAACTGATTTCTACACGCAAACTTGGAAATTTTCACATCTTTGGTGCTGATATTCACAAACAGCAGGTCACAAGCTCCGTTGTGGTTCGTCATGTAGCTGAAGGTTGTGTGCATTCAATAACCAAGTTATTCATATGTGCACTCACTACAGGCTGAGGAGAAACTTAGGAACTCAAAAAACGATTTTCTCGGAGGCTAGCCATATATGTCATTCATTGATGACGTAAAATTTTGATTATATGATATGCAAGAATGGACTTTGAGCTAATTTTCTAAGCTAATTTCTTCTTGTATTGTTTTAAAAACAACCATGTTTTGGAAGTAGTGATTTGAAGAAGATAACCAAGAGAAATTATGAAAACGGAAAGTGTTGTTTTTACTAAAAAAAACACGAAAAACACATTAGAGCCAATTTATCCTTGATGAGTACTTTGAGATTTGACTCCCGCTTGTCATTCCTGTTTTTGGAACGTTACCTGGATTGTCGCGCGCATTAATCTGAGTCGTTTTGGGTTCCCTGTGATGTTATTTTCGGATATGTGAGCAGCCTATTGTAAATTTCTTCTGCAAATTTCTCTCACAATAAATTTCATTGTGGAAAAAAACTGGAAAAGAAACGAATGGAACCTGTATCGTTAAAGGGAATTAGCTGACTACAAATATTATTAATACACTCCGATTTATTCCCAATTTAAAAAGAAGAAATATAAACACCAACATCTGCTGAAACTGAAAATGACTCCAACATTTTGAATACTGTCCGTAACTAGTCGTCTGTAACTAATCTGCTATATGAACCGAACCTTGGCTAAATCCGCTTTTCTAGTGCTATTTGATTACCAGAATTATGATAAAGTCTACAGAGGGTATTGATGAAGTAGGAAAACTACTAACATACAAGAAACTAGCATCTCAGAAAAGTACCATTTTTCATCTTAATCGGTCATATACTGCTATGAATTTTGGCTATTGAATTACAGCCAAATCCCGGGTTCGTGGCTGCTAAATAAGAGCGGTTACTGTGCGCACCATCAGCTCTACATAATGCTACTCAGTGTTGCTGACAACTCATGATACCTAGATATGTTGTGAAGTCATACCTTCGATACATAGAGCCACGTACTCTGGTAACCTTCACTTTGAGTGTCATGAGAGGACACAACCTTCACCTGGAGAGGAATACAGAAGTCATCCGGGGCGAAGCCCGGATATTATGATATAACTAATGACTAACTATGTAAGGATGAATGTGAATGAGGCAAATATAGTAGTGACATCCAGAAAAAGCTCAAAAAATCGAAGGATCGCGTTTTTATGGCCTTTTTTGCTGAAAAGAAGGTTTTTCTTCAAAAATTCAGTTAGAAATTAGGATGAAACATATCAGTTAACCTTTCTGTAGACTGCGATTGAGCGTTGGAGGTTCATGAAAGCCGCTGGAATTCAATAAAAACGAGAAACTGCGCTGAAATCTTGCGCAGAGAGTCGCCACATAAATGCTGGTCTATCTCGTTATGGAGTGATTTTCAAGACCTGCGACGTTGTCAGTGCTCCTGGCCGTCTCATGAGGATCACAACGATATATAATATTATAGGGTTTTGTTATGACCCCGCGGAGATCAATGACCAGAGCCAAATGCCCCGCCGGCTCTGGTCTGTCTCCGCTGCTCGTCTGCGTCTCCGCGCGCTGCGCGCTACCTCGCTACCCCAAACGCGGGGCGCGGGGCATTTGGCTCTGGTACCCTTTTCTTCGCTGTTTCAAACCCAGTTTTAGCAAGCTATATATCATTTTGAAGCTCTTGATCTCTATTTTCACGCTGACAACGTCGCAAGACTCCTTTTTATGATTTAAACGAGAAATCCGGCAAAAACCTTGTTTTCGAAAATCTCTCGTTTTTCTCCTAGTTTGACTCTTTTCACGCAGTTTTTTTGTGTAGTCGATAGGTCTTGTTTCTGTCTATAATGTAGACAACGTCGCCGAGCTTATTTCTCTGCTTATGCCGGTTTTTTTTGTGAAAATTACAAAAAAATGCGTTTTTCTTTACCTTATTCTTTTTCAGTGATTTCGCAACGAATTTTCTCCAGCTTGGACGATACTTGCTCAGAATGATGAGCGGAAGAATCCAGACAACGTCGCAGGGTACAAGAGGGACGGCGCGAGGGTAAAAATTCAAAGGACGCATCAAAAATCAAAACCCCGTGTTGCGAATTGCTGGTCTTGAAGCGAAAACTTGCACTTTGAAAAGACGCCAAACGAAAGATTTCAAACCTTATTGCAGCATTTTCATCTGGTTTTCAGCAGTTTCTCTTGCTTTTTATATCTATTTTACGTCATTTTTTCTTCTCTGATCTTCTTCAAACAACCATCACTATTTATGACGTCAGATGTTCAAACAACCTTCACTTTTGGCGCCCTGTCTCTAGACTATCGAAGGTATGTGTGAAGTCTTTGGTAACTATGTATTAGGTCGGTCCGAAAGTTCGTTCGCACCATATTCAAAAAATCATAACTTCCTTCCCTCACCATGATTTTGCGCAATTCAAATTTTATTAGAAAGCATATAGCATGTAGTTTCCAGTATCCCCCTGGCGACTTTCCAACATGATCAGGTTGCAGAGACAAAAATGAAAGAAAGGAAACATCCGCAATTCGGAATTTTTGAGAAACAATTCCAAAATTCTAGAAACTGCGCGATAAAATCCAGAAAAGCCATTATCCTAATTTTTCGTATATTTGATTACTAACTGAGTTAAGTTTGTGCTGATCGAGCTCTTCTTTCAAAAGTTATGATTTTTTGAAAAAAAAATGCCGAAAAATCAATTTCTTAGGAATTCTTAGGAAAGTGATTTTTCGGAATTTTTTTCAAAAAATCATAACTTTTGAAAGAAGAGCTCGATCAGCACAAACTTAACTCAGTTAGTAATCAAATATACGAAAAATTAGGATAATGGCTTTTCTGGATTTTATCGCGCAGTTTCTAGATTTTTGGAATTGTTTCTCAAAAATTCCGAATTTCGGATGTTATCGTTCTTTCATTTTCATCTCTGCAATCTGAACATGCTGGAAAGACACCAGGAGACTGTTGGAAACTACATGCTTTACGCTTTCTATTAAAATTTTAATTACCAAAATCATTGTGAGGGAAGGAAGTTATGATTTTTTGAAAATGGTGCGAACGAACTTTCGGATCAACCTAATATTTTACGTCCAAATTGATTAATTAACATTCATTTGTTAGGTAGAAAATTTTATTAATGAGATAGTAAGTGTAGACAAGACTGTAATACAAACTTTTGTAGTACAAAGGATCACAAAAGCCCCTATGATGCATTGCAACCGCTGATGGCTTCAAAATATTGCACTGATTTGAATTTTTGATGCGAATATAGAGACATAAACTCAATTATATTTTTCCTTTTCGCTTCTTCCGTCAGGGGCGGTATTTATCAATCTCCCACTCGCTGTTCGGGCCACTGTTAACAAGTCCCTGACAGGCGAGAGCGCCGACCCGTGATTCATCAAATGTTCCTATCTGGCAAGTTTGGCCATGTCGGGCACGGCAGTCGGACGGCAGGGCCCGATTTCGAAGGGTCGGGCTCCGCTGCCCGACTGCCGTGCCCGACATGGCCAAACTTGCCAGATCGGGCCACATTTTTCAATAGAGAGGAGCCCGATCACCAGCTTGGCTTCATATATCAACCTCCTTCGCAGGGGCCAGTGCCCGCGCCTGTACGGGCAAATACCTGTTACCTATTAGGAACCCCTTCCCATATAGGAAGTTGATAAATACCGCCCCAGGGTCAGTTGCACTGATGTGATACAGTGACTGTTGCGGTAGGCAGTGAATGAGTTTTTCTTCCTATTAAGAGAAAAAGGAGTCTGAGTAACCACATTGTTCCTGTTTTTGGAGTTTCAAAGGTTGAAGGGATGTGCGGAAGTTGAGCAGCAGGAAAATCTGTTTTGACTTCATTCATTGGTAACACGA